GCATAATCATACAAGGTAGTTTGGCTTAACTATCCTCACAGGAACAAACAAGAAGATAATGAAGTCCTCTTGCAGGGTCCATGGACAATCCATTGAGCTCTTTCACCAGTACTTAAATCTTGGACCAACATTATATATGGACAGTGAGCTGGGCCCCAAACAGAATGGTTGGAGGAGAGTGGATTGAATTTTTAGGGGAAATTATACAGTTCTTTTGTCCTAAACTTCTCCCTTACTAAAAAAAAAAAAGACAGACTATCTTTTCAACAATTTTTTTTCCAATGAATGACAGTGAGTCACAATGGTATAAAGGGTTGTCCTCAAAGCCAGGAAGACCTTGATTTTTAAGTATCCCTCTATCATTATTGGCTGTGTTACCCCAGGCAAATCAATTAACCTCTCATGCTTTAGATAACTCCCTAAGGCTCTGGTTATCTGCCTTGTTAGAGGGAATTTCCTTACCTGGGAGCTCTCTACCTTTCCCTTTTCTTCCAATGACACTATATGTATGTATGATTATCATTCTCCCAAGATTCAAAGGGTGATGGAGAAGTACTTGGTAGGCATTAATAGGCCATAAGCAATCAAAAAGCAAGCATTTATTAAATGCCTACTGTGTCTGGCATTATGCTAGGTGCTGGAGACTAGTAAAAATGAAATGACAAAATGATAAAAAAGATAAAAATGAAACCGTTCCTGCCATCAACAAGCTCATGTTCAATTGAGGGAGAAAATTATATCTATAGAGAAGTCCAGTGATATAGACAAACAAGACTGATAACACGAGATTTAAGTGAGGGGCATCTGAGGTGGTGGGGGTGTGTGGATAGGATGAGCTTCATGTAGAATATGGTACACTGAGCTGCATTTTCAAGGAAATAAGGGATTCTACAAAGGAATAGTGAGGAGGGGCCACATCTCCGGCATGGTAGATAGTCAGATCAAAGGCAAGGAGATGGTAGAAGGGGTGCTTTGGATGAGGAACAGCAAGAAGCCCAGTCTGGCCTGGAAAGGCAGATTGGGTCTAGATTTGGAATAGCTACAAAAGCCAAAAGGAGGAGTACGCAGGGGATTCTAAAAACAACAGGGAACCACTGGAGTTTATTGATTAGGGAAATGATATGATCAGACTCATGCTCTAGACTTGATCCTCACAACAACTATAAGCACTAAATGTCATTATTATCCTCATTGTACAGCTGAGGAAACTGAGGCAGACAGTGACTTGTCCAGGGTCACAGAGCTAGTAAGTGTCAGATGCCAGATTTGAACTTAGGTCTTTGCCACCAGGTCCAGTGCTCCATTCACGGTGCCATCTAGCTGCCCACAGACAGAAGAGGAAGAATGTAAGAGATGCTACAGACATAGAAATGGCAAGATGTGGCAATGACTGGGGCACAGGGAATATGAGTAAGCAAGGAATCAAGGATAATTCAATGTTGTGAAATGAGGTGATTGGAAGGATGATGGCACCCTTGACAGAAATAGAGAAGTTTGCAAGAGGAGCTGATTTAGGAGACAAGACAATGAGGCTTGTTTTGAACATATATCAGTGAAAATTGCACAGGAAAACTGGTATAAAAGTTCAGAGAAACAGGGGCTGTTAGAGCTAGAAGACACTATGGAGATTAGCTAGTCCAACTTCCCATTTTGTACATGAACAACGTTTAGATGAAGAAACTGATCCCTAGAGAAGTAGAAGGACTTGCTCAAGATCACACAGATGGAAAATGGCAGAATGAGGACTTGAACCTGGCACCTGTGACTCCAAATCCTCCATCCTTTACTTCTGCATTGTACTACAGCCATAAAGATGGGGGATCAAAAAGGATGCTGTGTAGTAGTGAGGAGGGAATACTGATGCACTTTCTCCATTGGCATCTATGCAGTAAACACCAAGAGCACCGAGAGCTTGGTCAGACGTTGAAGACGCCAAGGTCATCCACTGCATCCTGGGCCATCGCCAGTTGTCTTGACTTGGATGACTCTGGAAGAGACAGTGAGGCTGACAACCTTTTGTAATGCTGCCTCACTTGAATCCTTTTCATGGAAAAGTCAAGACATCGCCCGCCCTGTGACGTCACTGGTCCTCTTTGAAAACAAAGGACAAATGACAACAACCAAGAGATTGAGATGAACTGCCTCCCATGGAAAATGTCTAGATGGGCATGGACTAGAGATGCATGGGATGACAAGGCATAGATGGAAGAAAAGTCACAATTGGCAGCAATAGTGGTAATAACCAGAGCAAAAAGATTCTAGATCCATCAGAGTCTGGAAAGATGAGCTTGAAAACATGCACGCGCACTTTCATTATTAGTTCAAATAAATGGGAATTAATTTGAAAAATCTAGAATATATCACTGAGTCAATTAAATGTTAACTATTTTACCTGCTGACAAAAAGAAAGGAAGAGAAATGGTCCTGATTCTTGATGGCTAGCAGCAGCCCCTTTTCCTAATGAGACTCTGACTTGTCATCAAAACTTGTTAAGGAGAAATTCTGATGACTGGTTCTGTCTAAAAGCAAGCTCCGTTAGTCTCATGTGACCTTCTGGGGCACTCAAGGTCCAGAAGTGAATTAGAACTCCAGAAGTGAGGGAGGAGGCCAGAAGGATTACTCTCTGACAGCCACATACCACAGGGAGCCAGTATTGTCCTCATGAGAGAAGTGAACCGAGTCTTTGCTTTGTCAGAGAGTAACTCCAGAACGCGGGTGCTGTGTTGGGGATGGCAAAGAGAGGAGGAAGAAGCCTGGAAGAGGGAGGGGAGTCTTCATATCACTTGCTCTGAAAGCCAGTTTGTATATACAGTTCCCTTGGAGCCTCGGATTTCTAATCTGCATATTAATGATACCTAGAGTAGCTGCCCAGCAGGCTTGTGGAGGCTGAAAAGACAAAATGTCAATAAAACATCATTTGGCAAACTTTAAAGGATATGAAAAATAGCTCACATGTATGCAGCACCTAAAGGGTTGTAGAGCACTTTACAAATATCTCCCTTGATCTCCATAACTCTGGGGGTAGATGCCATTTTCTTCATTTATAGATGAAGAAATTGAGACAGAGAGAGGTCAAGTGACTTGCCCAGGGTCTCACAGCTTGGAAGTGTCTGAGGGAGGATGTGAACACAACTCTTCCTGATTCCCTGGTCCAGCGCTCTACCCACTGAGCCACTTAGCTCCCTAACGTGCTATAAATGTCATGTCTCAGTCTGTAGCTTATTAAAATCTTAGTACTGTTCCATAATTAAAAAATAAAACTACCTAGAGCCAAGGGACTACCAGCTAGACAGATTTCCTATCCTGGTACTATAACAAGAGTGGCCAATATTTTTTGTGAGGTAATTGGGAATTAAGTGACTTGCCCAGGGTCACACAGCTATTAAGTGTCAAGTGTGTGACAGCACATTTGAATTCAGGTCCTCCTGACTCCAGGGCCAGTGCTCCATCCTCTGCAAAAACAACCTTTGATATAGTATAGTGCCTTAGAAACATTTTCTCATTTGATTCTTACAACAACTCTCAGAGGTAGGTGCTATTAACCCCATTTTACAGATGAGGAAACAGAGGCTTAGTGACTTGCCCAGGATAAAAACAAAACAAAAAACAAAAAACAAGGACAAGTATTTTTGTTGGTGGGGGGGGGAGGTGAAGAATGAAGACTGGATCAGACAGATGGAGGAGCTGTGAGGTACATAATGTAGGTATCATCATTCAAATGTTGTGGGCAAGTAAAATGAGGCACAGAGTGGTGTATGGGGTCACCTAGTTAATAAAAAACAAGAGACAGTATTTGAACTGAAGTCTTTCTGACTCCAAGGCCAACACAGTAATCTAGCAGGCTGGGAGGTGGTTCCAGGGGCTATATGTGATCACATCAGACAGGTAGACAGATTGGTAGGAAGGCAGGCAGGCAGACAGACAAATAGATCGATGGAGAGACAGACAAATGACAGAGATGATATAGCTAGAGATAAATGTTGGATGCTACATAGATACATGAGAGAGACATGACAGATGGCTAGTTCTGCTTCCTGTCTTCTCAAAACCTTTTTCCTTTCCTGTTCTGGAAGACCGTTGTTTTATTTCAGAGCTCCTAAGTCTTAAATCCATCTCCCTGCAGTGGAACAGAAGAAAATCTATAGCATAGGAAACATGTGAATGTCACAGAGAATGGGAAACCAGGAAGGCAAAGAAAGGATGGAAAGGATGCAAACGCACAGAGAAAACGTGGCTAAGATGTCCTCCCTCCCTTCTGACTTGGTACTGAGAGGTCTGTCTCCTCAGAGGAATACAGTTCCCCCAGTTCTTCATTGGGTGATCAGGGCATAGGGAAATGTTTCTGGGCAACTGCTTTGGGGGGCCCAAAGTGGCCCAACTGGGGCTCAGTCCTACCCCCTACAACACAGTTCCCTTCCCCAAGTTTGTGCACAGTGGGCAAGCCTGGAACACTGATAGGCCAGTTGCCAATAGGAACATACCTCACCAGTCCATGACAGACCAACAACTATTGATTAAATGCCAGCTAGGGGGTAATGTAACACCCTCCCTGGAGTACCAAGTGGAGACCACTGAATGGGGATGGGACCCATCATAACTAACTATTAATTAAGGTTTTGGTGTAGTTATAACAAAAGGACCGGGCATGTGAAGAGACCTGGGTTCAAATACTGATGATATTTATTGCCTGTGTGACCCTGGGCAAGTCATTTCTCTCCAAGCCTCAGTTTCCTCTCCTGTAGAAAGGGGGCAATAATACTTATAATAAAACTTACATAATTGTTGTGAGGCTCAACGGTCTATAGACTCCTTTGTGAACCTTAAAGTGCTAGATGAAAATCAGTTTAATATCCCCTTTTAGGGCAATGGGGTTGGGGAGGGGGGAAGATGCCCAGAACGTCCATATTTTCCAGTCTTCTCTCTAAGGAACTTCGTGTTTCTATTGACGTGTTCCTAGCTATGTTATGTGAGCTTGACTCACTGGTACTTGGATTCCTCACCTCCTCTCCAGCTCTGACGTCACTGGGCCCTCATGATTAGTCTCTGGATCCTCACGATCAGAGATGCTTTTCAGACATTTCATCAATCTACCATTTGGCAAGGGAGGGGTTGTTGTCCCAGGGTGATCACCTCTACGCTGACCTCCATGCCCCAAAAGGTGGTCGTGTCATCCAGTGCTGAGTTGCTTTTGTCCTTGGAACATTCTTTCCCTGTTAGTAAAAGCAAGAGGGATTATGGGTCACGCAAAGCCTTTCCTTTACTTATTGGAAAATCAAATTTTGATGTGGGTGAAGCTCTTGGTCTAGGTGGATTTTCTTGTTTACTTTTAACATTTCTCCACAAAACCCTGAGCCCCTTGGTTACTTTTCCCTTAATCCAACTTTCCCCTTCCCACCCCTGCCTGCCCCAAGGACCACAGCAGGTCCTCCCACATTCCACATTTAGCCTTAGGCACTTGCACAGTTTCTAAGCTGGAAATGCGGGCTACACCTTTTGTATGGATATTTACGGTCCTGGGAACCACACAGCTTTGCAAGCCTCCCCTTTTAGAGTGACATTCAATTGCCTAAGTATGCAGCTAACCAGGCAGGCTTTGTTTCGGGTGTGGCTTTCTTCATTGCGCCAGAAAAGTGCTATGGACAGACATCTGTCAAACGTACAGCTCTAGCGGCAGGCATTGGGTAGCTCCCATATTCCTTTTTTTCCAAAGGTTTAACCTTGGAGATAAGGGCATTTTCCCCTCCATTCTGACAAAGGGGAGCATGCAGAACTGTGAGTGATGATACTCATTCCTGTGTCCGGAAAAAGAAAAGGAGAGAGACCTTTCCCAACTTGTGTCTTCCCCGCCCCGCATCCCCCCCCACCCTCCAATACTGAATACTTCAGTCTCCATTTTAACAAACAGCCATCTTTCATAAAACGTATAAACAGAAACACAAAATGTCTGCTCGGAGAGGACTGCAGACCCAGCTAACTGGGAGCCAGCAGATGGCACTAGAAGGCCAGAATCTGCTCCCCACTGGACTAACTGCTACAATGGAGAATTAAGCGATGAAACTGTTTATTTTAGTGGCATTCGTGTTCTACACGGGAAATGATTAAAAATTCTTCGGGAGAAAAGTTGGACTTTCTCTAATTTGAGATACTTATTTTTACATATTTTTCTTCCAAACTCATTGCAGGAAATGGATTAAAATGAAAGTCTTATTTAAGCATACAAGAGATCGGAATGAAATGATTTGGAAAAAAAAAATTAAGCTTCCCCAAATGGGTAAATCTCTGGACTTTATTTATAAAATGGCAATCAGCATAATATCAAGGTTACTCTCACATGCATGGCACACTCTTTTCAACATCACCACAGGCAAGAAACACTTTTTAAAGTTCAATTTTCAAGCTGTCTTAGCCAGGATTTTATCCTCAAGACACATGATATGATCTATCTTAGATTTTAATTCTTAGGGCCATATCTGACAGAAGTCATATGTAATTTTTAATTATAATTTTCAAGTGACTTGGACAAAGTAGGTGCTCAGTAAATGTTTGTTGAATTGAACTGAATTCAAGTCTTTGCTTTGAATTATTCAAGCATTCTGATCTTCTGGGTAAATGGCTGGATTACAGAGCAGACTGTATTGTGATTTATGAAATGGACAGCACAGCCAGCCCTTAACACAGAGCACAGAGGGTAGCAGGAGGAGCAGAGATCTAGAATGAGAAGGGACTGGAAAAGTCATCTAGCCAAACCCCTGCATTTTACAGATGAGGAAACTGAGGTGTTCATTGAGGAGCCATTCAGTCAATATTTGCTGACTGATTTAGAACCACAGAGTCAGTTTACAATGCCTCCCTAGTGACACTGATTGTTCAGTAATGTCCGACTTCTTGTGATCCCATTTGGGGTTTTCTTGGCAGATACTAGAGTGGTCTACCATTTCTTTTGCCAGCTCATCTTACAGATGAAGAAAATAAGGCAAACAAGGTGAAGTGACTTGCCCAGGGTCACACAACTTGAGTAAGTACTTGAGGGTGGATTTGAACTCAGATCTTTCTGACTCCAGGCCCTGAACTCTACCTCCCATCCCACCCAGCTGACATTGGACCCCATCCCAATCCTAGAATCCACAGTGAGTTATTTCAATACACCTTACACTCCTGACCTCCTACCCCACCCCACTTCCAATTCTCCATTAACACCATCCAGAATGCTATTGGATAACTGTATTCAGAATCATGCAGACTTGGCCCATTACAGTCTTCCACTCTGCTATTCACTAATTCTTCATCGCTCACTTATTCATGAACAATGCAGAAAGTCTAGAGTTGAAAGGATTTCTGAAGAGATCACTACTTCCCTGTGGCACGCATACCCTCTAGAGAATCCCTGGCCAAATGTCATCTAGTCTCTGCTTGATGGGGAACACATCACTGGTTATCCCCAACCTTGGTCAAGAAGAGATCTTTTATCAGCTTCAATAAGCTTAATCTACAGCGTTCTCACTCCCAGATTTGCCTTTAAACTGGATTCTACCCTGTGATTCCTTCCCTCTTTTCAGTCCTTCTTGTTTCTAATTTATGTCATGCTCATTTTTACCTCCACACCTCCCCCATGCTGTCCCCCCCAATCTTGAGTTGGAAATAAACTTCTCTCCTCTCTCCAAATGTTACTCATCCCTTCCACTGAGGCACAGAAACACTGGGATCCAGCTCCCCTGAGTTCTCTTTTGCCTTTGAATACCATCACTCTTCGGTCTCCTCCTCCCCCCTCCCTATACACCATGAAGTCTACACAGGTATGCCATTACATCAACGCATTTCCAAAAGGAAGACTCTTTCCATTCCTTGTTCTCTCTAGTAGCTTCATTATGGATCACAGAATACTAGAATGGAAAGGTGAGAGTGCTGTTGCATTGTACCCTTGTCAGACCACTGTAGTATTGGGTTCAGTTCTGGGCACCCCAGTTTAAGGAAGGCTTTGATAACCTAAGTACATTCAGAGGAGGGTAGCCAAGGGGGTCAAGGTCCTTCCTCAAGATCATAGTGCCAGAGGTTCTGTTCAAGGAACTAGAGGAAAAAAATAAGCCTTAGGTGGGACACGAGAGCTGCATTCATGAAATGTGAAAGAGGAATTAGCTTTTGTTCTCTTTGGGCCCAGAAGGAAGAACTAGGAGCCGCGGGTAGAATCTCAAAGAAATAGATTCAAGCTTGAAGGAAGGAAAACAGAAATAAAAAGAACAAGAGGAAACCTTCCTAACAACCTTCTATCTCAAAGGATACTGGGGAAGCTAGTGAGTTCCCCTTTATTGGATGTATTCCAGCAGAGGGTCAGTTACTGGGGTCTCTTCCAACTTTCAGATTCTGTGAGTCACTGCTTTCCTATGAGCCTGCTTCCCTTGGTCAAATAACAATCTTAACATTTTACCTTGAATTTTTTAAACAGATAACTAAAAAATAATCAGGATGGAGGCAGTTTTTCCTCTTCACCCTGAAAAGGAAATGGGAGGCTAGCAGGATCTCAGAATCAGAGATTTTGAGCTGAAAAAAGGCCTGAGAGATCATTTAGTTTAACTTTCCTCATTTTAATGAAGAGGAAACTGAGGCACAAGTTTCAGTGACTTAACTGACATCACCTAGCTCATATATAACAATACTACCATGTAACTGGAAACATAACAGATAGCCATTGTAAGAAAATTCTAATTGTTAGCTTACAGGGGGCTTTTGATTGTTATATACTTACATGGTATGCATATATAATATGACAGAAAAGTCATATCTCTAGATGAGTGCAGTTGAATCAGACGAGACTCTAGCTCTGCTCTACAGCCGAGATGTCTGCAGGCACTAGGAAACCAGGAAATAGCAGTCTCATTGTTAATGCAGGCTGTCTTGAAAAAGGTTCTTTGTCCCCCAATTAAAGGATGCTCTCTATGCACTTTTTTTACATGCAGGATACATCCGTAGAAATGGCATTTTTAATGCCATAAAACAACACGATCTTTGTTTACTAGATTTACAAGCTCCTGTCACACACCATTTTATACATATATTTTTTCCTAATAGGCTTATTTCTTTTCTGTTCCTGTTGAGTTAGCTGACAGCACCTCTAAGTCAGAGCTGAGAAAGTCTCAAGGAAACATGCCTCTGCAACCCACAGTCCACAATCACCTATCGGCCCTTGATTGGATTTTGATGAGCCTTGTATGCACACAGGAGCTTCCTGCCCTTCTTTCTCATTTGCAGCAAGCTAAACATTCTCTTGCTATAAAGTATTTATTCTTCTGATGCATAGCTGAGCTGGTGCCACACACGGGTTCAGTCGATTCTCTGAAGTCCCCGGGCCCAAAGTCCTCATGAAAACCACCCCCAGCTCTGGGAAGTTTGCAGAGCGGACACTAGCAGCGATTCTGTTCTTCAGCTACCACTTCCCCAGTCCTACTGCTTGTGCATCCCTACCTCCTGCTTCCTTAATCTCGGTAGTTTAGGGTAGTTAGACTTGGAGTCAGGAAGAACTGAGTTCAAATCCTGCCCCAGACACTTACTGGCTATGTAACTTTGGTCAAGCTGCTTGACCTCTCTTAGTCTCAGTTTCCTCATCTGCAAAATGGGGATAATAACAGCGCCCAAATCCCAGGGTTGTTATGAAGATCAAATGAGATAATACTATATAAAGCATTTTGCAAATTTTAAAGCTCTGTGTGAATGCTTCTTCTTTCTCCTCCTCCTCTTATCTAGCTTGAGATGTAATGTCCTCCTGAGTGGATGGAGCCTAGGGTAAGGAAAAGGAAAAGGGAAGCAGCCTTTTTCCTCCTCTCGCCTTCAGGAAACAGCCTGAAAGAGTACCATACCGACGCAATTCATAGCTGGAAGGGAAAATAGATGCTGAGGGTCTAGGTAGCTCTTATTCATATACTCAATGAATCAATTAGCTCTTACATTTTCACAACCAATGGGGGGCTCTCGATCATCTCCAAGTAAAAGACTTTTAGCTCTGAGTCTCTTAGAAAAAGAAGCAGGAATGGTCACTGACTCAGCATGCTCCATGCAAGTGACCCCACAGGTCACATCAACCTC